ATGCCAAGAGGAGCAAATGTGCCTTTGCTCAGACACAGGTGGAATACCTGGGCACATCATCTCAGCTAAGGGGGTAAAAGCTGATCCTAGGAAGGTTGAAGTTATGATGAAGTGGGCTAGACCAGAGAATGTAAAACAGCTGAGGGGATTCCTAGGCTTGACTGGGTACTACAAGAGGTTTGTTAAAAGGTATGGAAGCATAGCTAGGCCATTGACTACACTGTTAAAGAAGGACAACTTCCAATGGGGGCAGAAGCTGAGGAAGCATTTCAAAAACTCAAAAGGGCCATGTGTGATACTCCTGTACTGGCCTTGCCTGATTTCAGCCAACCCTCTGTGATAGAGACTGATGCTTGCTACAAAGGGATAGGGGCAGTTCTAATGTAGAACAAGAGACCATTAGCTTACATTAGTCAGGGTTTAGGGCCAAAGGATGTAGGATTATCCGTCTATGAGAAGGAGTTGTTGGCTCTAGTGACAGCAGTCACCAAATGGAGGCACTACCTAGAGGGTTAGCACTTCATCATTAATACTGATCACCAGAGCTTGAAGTACCTACTGGAGCAAAGGATCACCACCTCCTATAGCAGAAATGGCTAACTAAACTCATTGGACTGAGTTATGAGATCCATTATAGAAAGGGAAAGGAGAATGTGGTAGCAAATGCCTTATCCAGAAGAAGTGATCAAGGCTTGGAGTGCACTGCAACAACTATCATAGTTCCAGAATGGATCAAGGAAGTAATTAGCAGCTACCAAGGGGATGATTGGGCACAGAATAGCATTAAAGAGGTATTATTGAACCATGACCAAACCCCCAACCTCAGTTACCAAAATGGTATACTGAAGTTCAAAGGAAGAATGGTTGTGGGATCTGGAGGGGACATAAGGAAAATACTGATCACCACCCTATATGACTCACAATTGGGAGGACATTCTGGCATACAAGCAAGATTCATGAGGGCCAAGCAACTATTCTACTGGCCAGGCATGTATAAAGACAATAAACCAGCAATACTGGAGTGTGATATATGTAGGAAATGCAAGGATGAGCATGTATCCTATCCAGGGTTACTGCAACCTCTTCCCAACCCGCAGTACCCTTGGAGCCATGTCACTATGGACTTCATTGAAGGATTGCCTATCTCTGAAGGAAGGGATACCATTATGGTATCGGTAGACAGGTGTACCAAGTATGCTCATTTTCTGAGCATTTCACACCCTTTTGATGCCCCTAAAATTGCCAGAATATTCATGGATGGGGTAGTCAAGCTGCATGGAGTACCCCAAAGTATGCTATCAGACAGGGATAGGATTTTCACCAGTCAATTTTGGGGTAAGATGTTTACCCTGCTGGGAGCTAAGTTGGACCTCAGCACAACTTACCACCCACAATCTGATGGCCAAACTGAGAGAGTAAATCAGGTACTAGAAATGTATCTCAGATGTTTCTCACATTTGGAACTAAAGAAGTGGAATCATTGGCTGTCTATGGTAGAATGGTTGTATAACACCAGTTACCACACAGCTATTCAGATGACTCCCTTTGAAGCATTATACGTTCAGGCACCACCACAAACTGGCACTGGGACCCTACTCCCAGACTAAGATGGCTGTAGTTGGGGACTATTTGAAGGAAAGGCATAAAATTGACATTACACTGAAGCAGAATTTGAAGCAGGCTCAAAAGAGAATGAAAAGGTATGCTGATGAAAAAAGGAGTGAATGAAAGTTTGAAGTAGGGGATTAGGTGTACTTGAGGCTACATCCTTACAGGCAACATTCAGTGGCTATAAGAGGCAACACCAAGCTGTCAGCAAGATACTATGGACCCTATGAAGTGATAGAAAAGATTGGGGAGGTGGCATACAGGTTGAAGTTGCCAACAAGTTCCAAAATACATCCTGTTTTCCATGTCTCTCTACTGAAGAAGAAGACTGGAGATCAGATCACACCTATCCTGCAACTACCAGAGGTTGATGGAAAGGGACACTTAAGGGTCGAGCCAGTTGCAGTATTAGCTAGGAGAATAGTCAAGAAAAGGAATGCTACTGCAGTGCAATGGCTGATTCATTGGTGGGGAACAGATCCAGCAGAGGCAACATAGGAGTTTGCAGAAGAAATTGAGAAGCAGTTTCCACAGTGACAATCTTGAGGGCAAGATTTCTTGAAGGGGGAGACTCTGTCATGGAGTGCAGAGAGATTGCAGAAAGTTTCCCCCAGTTCAACTTAAAGGAAGAAGAAGGCGTGATCCAGAGTTCGAAGAAGGCGCGGTTGATCAGCTTGAAGAAAGAAGAAGGCGTGACTTCAAAAGACACGCCTTCACTAGGAATAACAGAATTATGCTTCGGTTATGAACCACTGCAGCTGATGATTCTAGAATTACACGTGTCATTAGTTTATTGGACAGATTAGGAGTTAGTTCTGAAAACAATAAAAGCTCAGAGGATCTTTGTGATAGTTAAGTTTTTGTCATATTGCCAATTAGTTGTAAAGAGAGATTTGGCTCTACCAAATTCCCTCTCCTCCCCTCTCATGTTTTTCCTTCATTCTTTCCTCCCCTCTCTGAATCCATTGTTTCTGTTTCTGTAATTTGTTATCAAGTCATTAATGAGAAGCTGAGTTCATAATTTTCCTTTACAGTCTCCTGTTCCATTCATTTTGTTAAGATTAAGTTAATTGCTGCTGCAAAATCTATCACCATTGCTATACTCTGGTTCCGTACCATTACATAATAATATATTCTTACAAATTTTCCCATTTTGCCTTCCAGGTGTTTGTCTTTTTTCTCAAGCTGCTACATGTACATCACCTCGGTAATCGCATTTTCTAGTTATAATGTAATTTATGCTTAAAATCTCCTTACGGCTCCTTCATTGGTATTATAGTCTCTAAGTAGTAGTAAGTTCAGATACTAGAGTTGCCGTCCATTGGTGCTTGATACTCTGCTAATGTTGACTAAGTGGAAATATTGCGACATTGCGTTGGATGTTGAATTTTGACCCAAAAACTATGTTTAATGATGTGAATTTGAATTGTACCGTGGCCTATATTGATGTAATATGAGGTAGACAGACTAAATTAAAATAAAGTTATCAATGTGGGAGTTTCTTTTTCAGTGACCATTTTCCCCTCATACTTTGCTATATTTTTGGATTTTGGATTTCTTCTCCATGATTATGAAAGAAAAGTTTGTTTATTTTTGTTGGGAATCTTCCAATACATTTCCCACTCATAATGTTAATGGCCTTAGAAAACCAAATCCTTGTGATGTTCATATGCTAGAAGAGTTCAATGGTTCGGTGGTTGAATTTCATTGGTTCAATGGTTTTTCTTGTGAAGTAAGAAAGTTGATTTCCTTCTCTTTATTGTTACTTACATGAATTTCCCCTGCATTATTAACATTTAGTAACCCTTACAGATACATATAACTTGGAAATTGGTTATGGGCACCTTGACTAAATCTATGAGTGCCTGAGCAGATCTATTGTGGGATCAATCTGTGTGTGCCTAAGCTTAAATTTTTGTTGTTATTACCTGGTTTGTTTGATGTATAGGCTCCTTGGGAAGATTGATTATTCCAACATGTGGTAATGATATGATTCTATCTGCATATTTGTACATGGCAAGAATTAGTCTTTCTTGGTTTTGTTATTCAGAAGAAGAACAATGACATAATTGAGGTTAGAAAGGAGATGGTAAAAGCAGCCTATGACAAATAAATGTAAATGACTGATAGATAAAACCTTTAAGCTTATGCACTGATTTTGGTTGTAGAACTATTATGTATCTGGTCAAGTGGGTTGAGTTACTTATCTTCCTCTTTTTTGCGCAGCGAAAACTGAACAACTCAATTTTAAACTATACTACAAATTATTTGAACTCTATTTTTTGAAGCTTCTCAGGATAGGAAAAAATAAATTTATGCCTAGAGACTAAAATATGCTAAGCACTTTTTACTTTGGTTGATTAACAGCTTTAGTAACTTTGAAGAGCAAATGAAATGCACAAATGGAGTAAATAGCCTGACTGAAAAAAAAGTCATCTGTAGGCATGAATGAGTGAATTAGGGCTGCAGACGAGTCGAGTCGAGTCGAGTTTTGACCTAATCGAGCCGAGCCTCAACATAATTTCATTGAACTCGAACTCGAGCTCGAGTTCGAGCTTGACGAGCTGACAATTTCAAACTCGAGCTCAAAAAAAATAAAAAATAAATATTTTATTTTCTTAAAAATAAATAAAATAATATTTTTTTAATAAATAATAAAATATTAAGGATGTATATATAATTTTACTATTAAAATTAAAAAAATATAAAATATATATATACTTAAAATAAAAAAATAAAAAAAATATATATACTTAAAATAAAAAATATATATATATATACTCGAGTTCGCGAGCCGACTCACGAGTTAACGAGTTTAATATTTTGAACTCGATTTCGACTCGAGCCAGTTTGAACTCGACTCGAGCTCGAGTCTAGTTTGATTCGAGCCACTCGCGAGCGATTCGATTCGTTTGCAGCCCTAGAGTGAATCATTAATTCCAAATTTTGCAAATGTAATGTTCGCATGTATTCTGTCCTTGAAAATGTTTTTACTTAGAGGTGTGCTTTAGAGCCTAGAGAGTATCTTTTTCCAAGCTTTATTCATTTTTCTCTTTGCTTTCTATGGAGTAAGCTGATCAATATGAGATTAAACATAATTAAAAGAAAAGCATGTTTGTTGTCTATAGGTTGGGCTTAGGTGAAGTTAAACTCAACCTCATCTATGCTCGATCAAAATAATAATATCAGATCAAATACTTAATACTTATACATGTTGAAGATAAACAAAATCATATAAAATAATTATTTTAATAATATATTTATCTTAAAGCATTATTCTTTTAATTAAATAATTTACAATTAATAAATATCTATGGTAAATGTATAAATTGAGTATTCTTATCTACATATTATATGAAACATTTTAAAAATCCGATCATATGCATAATTTTTCGACAAAATTCAAGCTAATAGCTTATACAATCTCGGTCCGAAACTTATTTTGAAAAAATGGGCCAAGATGAGGCCTTACATGTGTAAGTTTCGAATTAGTCAAGTTCAGATTAATAAGTGAAATTTTTTGCAGTTAAGTTCAGATTAGTCTCTCATTCTAAAGATCCTTAAAAACAAAATGTTCGCCCGATGGCGGAGCAATTTGATTACCTTAAACAATATTTTATTAAATTTTAGGACGACAAACTGTGAATATCAAATTGTTAATCACGACCCTGTTGTAGCTCATTGTCTTTGCAGTTTAGTCTCCAATTCTGCTTCTCAGATTCCCCGAGACCTCCAGATAATGAACAAGAATATCACACGTTTAATACGAAGTGGCCGGATTCAAGAAGCAAGAGTTTTGTTTGATGGATTAAGACTTAGAAATACAATCACATGGAATTCAATGATGAGTGGATACGTCCATAGGCGAGAAATTGCACAAGCTCGAAAACTGTTTGATGAAATGCCTGAAAGGGATGTTGTCTCGTGGAATTTGATTATTTCGGGTTATATGGGGTGTCGGGGAAGTAGATATATGCAAGAAGCAAAATACCTGTTTGATCAAATGCCGGAGAGGGATGTTGTTTCGTGGAACACGATGATTAGTGGGTACGCGAAAAATGGTAGAATAGATGAAGCAATGAGGCTTTTTATGTGTATGCCTAAGAGGAATGTTGTTTCTTGGAATGCGATCGTTTCTGGGTTGCTGCAAAATGGTGATATGAAAAGGGCGGTTGAGTTCTTTGAGAGAATGCCTGACAGGGACGCCGCTTCTTTAAGTGTTCTTGTGTCTGGTTTAATACAGAATGAAGAGTTGGATGCTGCTGCACATGTTCTGTTCAAGTATGGGACGAGGGATAGCGGGAGTGAAGATTATCTTCAAGCTTATAACGTTTTGATTGCCGGGTACGGCCAAAAGGGAAGGGTGAACGATGCCCGGAAACTTTTTGATCAAATCCCAATTTATGCTGCTGATGATAATAGGAATGGAGTTAGAAGGTTTGAGAAAAATTTGGTGTCATGGAATTCTATGATCATGTGCTATGTGAAAACTGGAGATATCATTTCTGCCAGGGAGTTATTTGATAAGATGATTGAGCGTGATTCTGTTTCGTGGAATACCATGATTAGTGGCTATGTTCAGGTACGAAATATGGAAGAAGCTTCAAGGCTTTTCTCTGAAATGCCAAGCCCAGATGCATTATCATGGAATTCAATGATCTCAGGGTTCTCCGAGTCAGGAAGCTTGGAACTTGCTCGTAATTTTTTTGAAAGGATGCCAGAGAAAAACAGGATATCTTGGAATGCAATTATTGCAGGAAGTGAGAAAAATGCAGATTATGATGGAGCCATCAAGCTTTTTATTGAGATGCAAGGAACAGAAGAAAAACCTGATCGACACACATTATCTTCACTTCTTAGCATTTGTGCCGAGTCTGTGGCAGTGGATCTGGGAATGCAAATTCATCAGTTAGTAACAAAGATTGTTGTGCCTGATATTCCGTTAAATAACTCGCTTATTACAATGTATGCTAGATGCGGGGCAATATTTGAAGCAAGAACTATTTTTGATGAGATGCAATTTGAGAAAGATGTAATCTCTTGGAATGCTATGATTGGGGGATATGCATCTCATGGTTATGCACTGGAAGCTCTTGAACTATTTGACTTGATGAAGCAACAAAGAGTGAGACCTACTTACATTACATTCATTGCAGTTCTGAATGCATGTACTCATGCTGGTCTTGTTGATCAAGGCTGGTTGCATTTTGAGGCCATGATTAATGAATTTGGTATTGAACCAAGGGTTGAACACTTTGCCTCCATTGTGGACATGATGGGTCGTTTTGGAAATGTTGAGGAAGCCTTGAACATAATTTACGCAATGTCACTTGAACCTGATAAATCTGTCTGGGGTGCATTACTAAATGCCTGTAAGGTGCACAACAATGTGGAGATAGCACAAGTAGCAGCTGAAGCTTTGTTGAGGCTAGATCCAGAGGACTCCGGCCCATATGTTTTGCTGTATAACATGTTTGTTGATGTAGAGAGATGGGATGATGCAAATAAGGTCAGGGAGTTGATGGATAAAAGTAGAATTAGAAAGGAACCAGGTTACAGTAGATTGGATTCAGGCTGCTGATAATGTCAGAAACGTCATTTCATGTACAGAGTGGTTAAAAGGCAGACAACGTTAGAACAAAGGTAATTGGGTTTATCACAAAATTAAATGTTCTCCAATTAGGCTCATTTTCTATAATTATTCACATAGCAACTTGAAAATCTGAGTGATTTTGGAACACTTTAATTATAGAAATCATATTCTGTTATATTGTATGACATTCATCTTACTCTTGTTTTTCAGTCATCCTATACTATTTCCCACATAGTTCTTGTACTGTACCTTGTTAATCTATTAAACTTACAAGTTTTGTACTTAGAATCAATTTTCTCATTTTTTTTCTTGATTATGCTTTCCCCTTGATGTTTGTATAACTTAATGAATTGACATGCACAAGTTTATTAACTTTAGAATATTTGAGAAGCATAGGCACCCTTATATTGATATGTGATACTTCATGCTTTCAAACATTCAGCAACCATATATACAGCTACTCACTTATCATGTTCCCTTTTGGAGTTTCTGTTAAAATGCTTATTCCTTATTTCATGTTCACTTGTGGGATAAATTGTAAACTTAGATACTTGTTGAACTCTAAGCTTTCCAAAAGTCAAAAAGGTCTGTTTATGCAGGATTTTTTGGTACCTTCTTTCATCATGTCACTTGTTATTTGCCTTCCACTTATCCTTCAAGAAAGTGTAAAACATATCTGTTTATTAGGGACTTTCAAAGGCTTGGCCTAATATTTAGAATATTTATGATTTTCGTCAAATACCTTGGAAAGACCAGTAAAACTTGTAATGTGTTGAACTTATATACGATGTCACGTAGTGACTCAAAAAAACTGTGAACTACTGTGGCCCCATTTTATGTTGTGATACTCATGTGAAGCTAAAGCTCCAGCAATGTTTTGATTAATAATTTACACTGCTACTTAGAAGTTTAAGTCTCAACTTAGCATGAAGGTTTTCACTCAACTTACTTTAACAGGTAAAAGAACTTGTTACATCATTAACTAAATAACAGATATAATCATCCAAGAACATAGAACATGGATTCTACTCATTCTCCATTAGAGAATAGATTTTTCTTTTTGTTTCATGAACTATTTATTAGTATCTTCTTTGATCTTTCTGTTCTACCCTTTAATGTCTGATTCTTGTTCCCTTGCTGACCATAAGCTATTTTAGGAGTCCTCTTTATGTCCCTCTTCTTGCCTCCTCTTGTTAATCTTTCTAATTGTACAAACTTGATGCCTATGATCTGATTGATGACCAATTTAGTTCATTTATTATTGAATAGGCCTGATAATAATCATGAAATATTCCATTCTCAAGCACAGAGGTAGCAATCTCACAAGGTATGCACAATATTTATTTCTAATGTTTTAGTTATAAAGTACATGTTCAAGTTCCAACACGTACATGTACACCTGCTCAATGTGTGGGCCACAATGGATCAAGTCAGTATAACAATTTAATTACAAGTTAGTCTCCCCTGCCACCTCACTGAACAACTCCCTTAGCTAATTCCACTAGGAGGTCTCTCTTTTCTCACGCTTCTGGCTGGTAATTTTCCCCTTTCTCTACAACCACTGGTCATTACTTCCTCCTTATTCTCTCCAGTCTCTGCTACCCTTGGTGTACTGTCCCCAACTCATACTCTTGCTCCCCTTTCCGAACACGTAAGGTAATTGTTGTAAGATAAGTAGTTTAGCTGTTTTATTTTTATTTTTTATTTTATCCTATACATATATATAATATATTTAGCCTATAGTATAAGCGTGAAGGACCTCTAGCCACGTCAGATTTGGTCATCCGCCCATGTGTCATAAGGGGATTGGCTTCCTGATGACGTGGCAAGAGGAGATTGGTGGCAAGTTTGACCAAGAGTTTGTCCTAGGGCTTCTTGTCTTCTTTCCCTTCATTCTTCTCCGCTGCTTCGTTCCTCTCCGAAGCTCCTCTCCCCTTCCTTTTTTCTTTTATTTTCTTTGTTCCTTTCTTCCCATTCTTGTTTTTCTTTTTTATATTTGGTACTTCCTTCTTCTCTGTCTTCCCTTCCCGTTTCCCCTCCCTTTTTCCCTTTCTTCTCTTTTCTTTTTTGAGTTATATGATTCTAATTGATTTTTTTCCCTTGTCATTAGAATTGGTCTGGATTTGAAGCTATGAAACGCATGAGACACAGAAATCATCTTGATCGGTATGCTCCAATATTTCCCTAAATTTTTACACTGTCCTTGATTCAAAAAAGAAAGCCATTTTTCCTGCTAGGATTTGTTAATCTTTTGATTAATAACCCAGAGGTTTGAAATACTATTCTTCCATCTCCTTCTTTGAGCCAAAAAAAAAAAAAAGGCTGCAGTAAAATCTCCATCTTAATCCATCCAAAAGCACCAAAAGTCGGAAGTATTTGTAAACCCAGAGATCTGGTGTTTTTTCTTTTCTTCTTGAGTATGCTTCTGAGTTTTGGTTCAACCTTCTCTTTTCCTTTTGCTGTAATGCAACGTTTCTCCATCATTTGCCATAGGAAATGACTTCAGAACCCTAACCCTAGATTTTAGTGTATACAGGTCTATTTTCTATTTCATCTATGTATATTTGTAGAGCCATGAAGTAACATATGAGTGAGCAATTGTACCAGAAAACTTGTTTATCGAAGCAGCTGATATAATGTGAAATGGGGGTTTTGTGAGGAAGAGCCTATCAAGGGAGAGAGGTTGTGAATTGGGTTAAATTTTGTTGCCTGGTCACTTGATCACCATTTACATCAAGGTTCAGCTCTAAACACTACTCATGTTTACATTATAGTGTAGTTAAAATTTTGTTGTGATTGCTTTAACGTACACTTTTAGAATTTACAATGTGTAGTAAGTCTTTAAGAAGAAGAGTGGTACATGTGATTTCTTGGACATATAGATTCTCATGCAGATGGTTAAGAAATTATCGAAAAGTGGACTATATTTCTTTGTTGAGTAAGCTAATTGTTAATAATCAAATCCTACTTTTTAAGATTTTTATTCTGCTAGGGGCGTATTGGCCCATCACTATTTGGTTTTCATGCAGTGATAGTTGACAGTTATTAGCATTTGTTTCCTACTGTATCTGTTAGACTAGGGGTCGGAGGAATGGATTACGTTTACCATATTCTAACTTAATTATCCCCTCTTTTAGTTAGTAACTGGCTCTCCATATGGTTAGTTTATGATTATGAACCGTTGGTTGCCAAATTTCAGGTTACATAGCAAGAAAATGCTTTCAAATGAAACCATTTTGCATGATGGACCTCTGGATTCTTGGTTGAGATGGTGGTGTCTTTTGAAGGTCCATAACCAATGCCATGAATAAGTATAATTTACAATAAAGGTCTGTGACTTTTGCTGCTTTATAAAGAGAGGCTGCTTTGTTTATTCTAAAAGTACTTGGACGGAAATTTATATGAAAAATGAAGCTACTATATACATAGACCAAACTATCAAAGTTGTCTATCAAAGTGCGTTCATCTTATTTTCTACTCTTGAAGTTGCAGACATAGAAGTTTTATGTCAAACTGGTTTGTTAATTTGCATGCTACTCGTCTTATTTAGAAGATCCTCCTTTAAAGAAATTTTGAAAGTCAGTCTCTGCCAAGCCGTCTTCATATACCTATGAACTAAATCTTGGAGTGGAGAACTATAAATCTCTCTCCAAGCATTCTGTTTTTTTATCAAGAAAAGTTTTGCTTTTGGTTGAGTTAAAATATGTACTTTATAGGAATCATAGAAGTTCAAGTTCATGTCTCAATATTCTGCAAAACTAATTTTGTCATTTCACCTATTTATTATGAATTCCTTGACTATGGTGACTTTTGATTGATTTTCTGAATTTTATTTTTTTGATTCTTGGCTGATAGCAGTCGGAATTTTGGAGTCAATTTTATCCTTGACCATGATTTTTTACTTTTCCAGGTCTGTTGTTTTGTTTCTCAGAGATCTGGTATTTATAAAGTTCATGTTATGTTCTAAAAATTTTCTCCCTTAAGCGATTTTTTTCAGTTTCCTGCAGTCAAGAAAAGAAAATATTAACTAGATTTGGCCATGTGGTATGGGTACTGTATAACTCCACTTTCTCTTTTTATCTTTCTCCTCCACTGTCTCGTGATCTCCTAGAAATTCCATATAGTACTACTATATTTTTTTCCTTCTTCGGAACCCTTTTTTGGTTTCTACAGATCCATTTTTCCTGGTTACAAGATGAGGAATTGAGATATACAACCAAGGGATGGTTTTTATCCCGCTTTTTTTTTGGGAGTGGTGCACGATTCACCTGACAAGGTCATATACATATCTATACTTATTATCCCCTTTTTCTAATGAGCTTCCTTTCGATTGATCAGCATCAAAGGGAATACCCACAACAATACATCAAGATATTACCTGAAATACACTTATATGCAAACACTATCTGGCTGGAAAATAGAAAACTCAATTCCAAGTGCAGTACATAAGTCCCGATTGGCCTTTGTGCGAGCTACTCTATTCCATTCTGTTATGACTGCTCTGATGTCTGCAAGTGCATAATGAAGCACTCCATCATCAGGATTGATGATATTGGACCGGTAAATCTGACTAAACTCAAGCTTTTCTTTTCTTTCATGGTGACTTCTCAGATTAAGAAACTCGATTGCAGATTTAGAATGCTTTAATTATGTATTGTATGTGAAATTTGGTGAATTTGCAAAACTTTTTCTTATGTAGTCTCTCATTTGGGGTTTTTATTTCTCATGGCTGTCGGCCTTATAAAATCTGACAATGGCCTGGAAAATGTTAATATAGAGGTACTAAATTTGTCTTTAAGATTTAATTGTGAGTTGCCATATCTGTCTTTGTAAAATTTTGGCTGCTATTTATGCCATTGGGTCACATTAGGTCAAATGTAAGTGGGCATTTTTGGTTGGGAACCACAGTGTACACATTTTTAGGAACTATGTTAACAAAATGGCACTTCTCACATGTGCAGAAACATCTCATCAGAGGTTGTTTTCATTAGGTGGAAATCAAAATGTTGATATTTTGGATAGTTAATTTTAGTGTAAATTTTTGTTTGTTTGAATGGTGTTATTTTCATTGACCTTGCTATATTATGCATGGAAGTGGTAATTAGGTTTATGGATCTAGCAAATTCAATGTTTAATTTGTTTTGGTCTCTAATTTGTGGGGAATTTTATTAGATTCATTTACTAATCATGAAGGAAAAAAAGCTGCCATAGTTGTTGCCATCTTTTAGCCCATAGTGGTCCTTAAGGTATTAGTTTCTTGTGCAATTTTTTGTGGTGATTGAATTTTAAGGTATTGGCTTATCCTCTATGATTCTCTATTCCATTATATAGGCGAATCAGCTCTGGGTATAACTATTACATAGCTGATAAAGAATTGAATAATAAATCTTGTATTCCCGCATTTTTTCCACTATTTGGACATTTGGAACGTCAGGCGCCTAACAATATAATAGTTAAAATTTATGTGATATGCTTTAAGAACAGAATCAGTAGTTAATATATATGATGATCAGGTTCTTATGCTTGTTCAATTTAATTTTGGTGTTCCTTTCCTTAAGTGAGATCCTTCTTTGTCTTATGACGCATTTTCACATGGTGGATGATGGCTAATCATCAACCTTCTGCTTGTCGAGAATTAGAAATCCTTTTGTTTCAATTGACTTTAGTGTCTCTCCTCAATTTTTGAAGATAAAACTAATTATAGCTTTTTGTAAGGTTAAAACTTTACTACAATGTATGCTTTCTTAATAATAGCCATCAATGGCTCTCAAATTTTTGAAGATCAACTAATTATAGCCAACAGAGATAGCATGTTCAAGCACTTGAATGTTCTCTTTAATATGTGCAACCGGCACCTATACTTTTCAAGGGATTGTTCGCTCCCTGAACATAGAAAATAATTTAGTAATTTAGGCTGCAATTGTCTTTTGCTTCACTCAACTTGATTCTTCTTGAAGATCTGTATGCAAATTCATTTTTTTTTCTAATTTGTAGGTTCTGAAGGTGCTTTCAGCCTATTCTACAGCAGATTCTGCTAATCCGAACTAACCTGTCAAGCCTTCCATCCCTTTCTGGATCTGCTATTTCATTAGTTTCAATTCTGCAGGTTTGTTCTTTCCATTGCTTGTTTAGTAATTTTCAAGATGTATAATCAAAGTGGATTTTGATAATTTGTTGTAAAACAATCTTCAGACTTTATCTGGTTCTGCTATTTAATGTTTGGCCGAGCTTTCCCTTTTCATGATAACATGTAGCTGGCCTAATTATCTTCACACAAGCATAACTGTTTCTACTACATTTCCCTTCACTTAAATTGCTTTTGTAATTGTCAAGCATTTTTAGTTTCAAATATCAATAAGAAATTGATATCAGCACCAGTAGCTATACAACACAATATGTCTTAGAGAAGGTGTAATCTTAGCTTACAATGAATGATTACCGCTTCATTTCAATTTATATGTATGTTACAGGTATTTGTATTGAACTGTGCAGGGGCATTACGGCTTCATTTCTTTACTGATTTAAGAATGAGCAACTTCTTCAAATGATAAAGGGCCAACTGAGAATTCAAAGTTCTGAGAAAGGTGGTTCCCCCCCCCCCCCCCCCAACCCCCAAAACCCCAAAAATTTCAAACTTACAATATTCAGAGTAAAGAAGAGTAAATAGAACGTTAAGGTTGAACTGACCATTCATCTAATCATTCTTCAAAATTATTTCCCTTCTTCAATAAGCTGTCTTGGGTGTCTAATCATTACTTTTTTCCCCTTGATATCAATTGCATTGAATTAATCCAAAAGATTCAGAAGTATGTGAAGATACTTTTGTATGCTTCCCCAACTCAGCAAAATCGCTCACATACCTGTCAAAACAGGACTGCAACTGACTATGCATGGATCTTTATTTGACATTTTTTGATTCTTGATTCACCAAGTTTTATGACTTTAAGGCTCTCTCTGATGTTTACAAGTTATTGATAGTCTAGAATCATTCTACTTATGGCCAATTAGAAATACTTTTTTCCCTTTTTGTCAATCTGTTCAATTGGCACGGGTGTGGGTTTTGTCTTACTAAATAGATTTTCTCTTTATACTGCATGTACATGCATTCCATTATTCGTTTGAATATGCTGTAAAAGAAATTTATTGATGTTAAATGTCCTTTTCTAGGAACTGACAACTCGCTTTGTAGTTTTTATCAAGAAAAAAGAAACTTATTGTCGATAAATGTCTTTTTCAGGAACTGCCAATTTGCTTTGTGGTTTTTATTCAAGAAATGCTTCTCAAGTCTTAGGAATCCCAGTAGCATGTCTACAATTATTGTCTAATATACTTAGCCTACCATCTGCATGATAAATGCAAGATCCAGGTTGAAATCTGTCAAGGGGGCTGGACTTACCGACTGACTCACTCTTTTTAAGGTTTACAAGGAATTGTTGGAAAATTGGGATGATCTACACCCTATCAAATTACATTTCAGTCATCGCTCTGGAGATGGCATTCGTGATGGCAGTTATTGCCTCAAGTCATTCTTAGGCACCCAGAGTTAAATTTAATTGAAGTTCGAGTGAAGCAAGTTTTCTGAAGCACATGATGATGTTCTTGATACACACCAAAGTAGCTGACAGGAGATGATTGTACTCATGGAAATTTTAGATTCCGGTTGGGAGAGTAGCAAAGGGTTCTATTAATGAAATTCTGAATACAACTCTAAACATGGTTATTTATTTAAGGAGCCATGTATTGGTAGATAAGTAGATTACCCTTAATGAAAGTGTTTTAGCGACCTTTAAGAGGCTTATATAATTTCTACTCCAATGTTCATCATGTTCTCTCTTTACCTTTTTCTAAACTGATAATGTTTACAATTGACTCATAATAATATGTCATTATTTTGTTATAATTATTGCCATGTTCTTTCAATATGTATTCATACCACAAACGTTTTTTAATAGCTAATTATGAATACGACTTGCAATAATTTATAAAATTTTTAACTATGGATTTGTTTGGATTGCATTTTTCTGGATTTTTTGTAAAAAAATTACTATAGCGATTTGATATATGTGAGGTAAAAAGGTGATAAGAAAATGTGTTCACAAAAAACGTAACAATTTTTCTGAGAAATATAGCAATCCAAACGGGGGTGGGCTTGACTCAACATACTTGGCTAATATGATATTTTGAACATCAAGTTATCTAAGTCGTTACTACTAATTATGAATTATCTATTTTGTTTTCAAAAAAAAAAAAAAAAAACAACTACAATGGACTTTATGCTGGCCATATGACGTATATAACTTTACACTGTGCATATGCGCGGTGAACCCCTCCTAGTATATATATACACTTTCAATAAATTACTTTTGTATTTAATTGTCTTCTTATTGGTACAAAAAGGTAAGGAAAGCCTGGTTAGTTTTTCAAGCAAAGATGGACAAAATTTATTTATGTTTTGAAATTACAATTTCGTTTCTTGTATCTGCAGTAAATTTGCATCAATCACTCCAGTGTTTCGAGTAACAATATCTCCGACTCTTTACAATTTAGTTTGAAATATTCTACCACACAGTGGGCTTGAAAACCTGCAGATTGAGAAAAGGGACAAAACATGTTAATTAACAGAAAACAAGCACTTTTTTCTCCAATAACTGAAATAAAGCACCCTTTAAATTGTCTACATGGTACTTATCATTTGCTTTATCCCCAACTCTATTCGATGTCCCTAACCTTTTGTCAGAATTCCCTTGGGGTGAAGCTGCTCCTCCCAAAGTGATTATACTGAGTTGTTTCTTCATCTGACTTTGATCTGGGTAAATCCTTTTGCTTGAACTTAAAAATACATTGTCATGTGTTAAGCAAATTTCTTAAACCCATCCTTTCAATTGGTATATATGTATGTACTTGCAGCCATAGTAAGATTAAAGATTGTGATTGCACCAGATACTTCACATCAGTTATGAAGTTTTCTTTGGACCGAGCAAAGCATGCCTGGGATAGCTTTGAAGTGCCTGCTGGTTTTGGTATTGTGGATAAGAGGAATAATATTACTGTTTCTGAAAGAAATCAATCCACTGGGAGCAAAATTGCTACAGGCACGTAGAGATGGAAGCAGTCAATCTCCTCCTGAACCAGTGGCGGACAATTGGACTTTCAAGGCCTTAAGTTGCTGCTAAGTGTTCAAACTGCACACTTTATGTCATATGTGAACCATGTATAACATGTGCTGCAGCCTTAATCATTTCTTGGTATTAAACAAGAGCATTATGGTTGGGTGAATGATATATTTGGAGGCCGTGGATCGATATTGTCATGGCATTCTGGTAGCTCCAAGACATCCACTGGTCCTGGAGATCAGTAGAGGAAGGATTTCAGGTGCCAATAAGGAATGATGGCATTAGAGGTCCTCTCTCTTCCGCAGACTTTCTATGCAGCAGGAATTATTAGGAGCCTCGTATACCACAAAGTCAAATTAGTTTAGAACTAAAAATTCTCGTGTAAATCAATGTATATGTGCTTATTTTGGCTAATAAGCTGTTAAAATGCTACTCTAATCATATAGATTTTTTTACAATTGGTTGCTCAGTTTTGAAGTAATGCATTAAGTTCTCTTGCTCTGTAATCGCCTTCTAGAATCTGCCTTTTGTAGATCTCATGTGACATTTGTAGCTAGATAGTTTAAAAGCTAAAACAACCAACAATCAGATACTGTGATTTGATTGCTGAAGTTAAGGAAAGGGAAGGGATCGATTTGTAGTTATGACGCAAATAAATACTATTTTGGCTCTGCATTTTCAAGATCATACTCATCCTCACAACATGTTTTTGTTTCTCCGTTTAGCTGAACTGCAATTTAGTTACTCATAGATCACCAAAACCATATGCCATAGTTAGCTCTGCTGCTCCATCACCCAGAAATGGTTAACACATACATAATTGGTATCTTTAGCTATCCCCAGTCATGAGCAACACTTCAAGGAAAATTCATGCTGAAGCTCACAGATTTCAGCTACATTTTTTATTAGATTATATACAGAATCTAAGTTCAGTCAGAGAAGAAGAAAATTAATCTCTTCTTGTTCTCTCCATCTACGAAAGGTCAGTCCTAATGAGGATTAGATTGCCAACTTATCCTCTATGATATCATTTATCCTGACTGTTTGTACCAAGGCTCTTTGGGAAATCAGCAAAATGTCATTTCGTAAAACTGATTTGGGAAAGGTGTACAGCAGCCCAACTTGATTCATGTTCTGTTTTTTTTTTTTTTGGTTGTCAATCGCCACATATCTACATCTACTAACCTACAGGGAAGGGAACGAATCTGATAGAGGTCCAAGAATTCATAGCTACGCTTCAATTATCCTATCCATTGAAGTTGATGATCATGAGTTCTTGGATACGTGTTCATGACAAATAGGATGTGAGGGAGAACGTGTGTTGGATCATGTGCGTAGTAAAATTGGGTAGGCGACATGCTATGTGGCTTGCGTTCATCACGACATTTCTCAAGTCGCTTCATTATAAGTAAGTGCATGATTTGAAGATAAATCGCCTTTAAGAGAGGGGGAATGGTACAAATCTGGTTGCTGCCAAGTGTTTGAGACCTATCTACCTTTGCATCTTCATTGTTCCTGAAGAGTTCTAGCAAAACATTCAAGAGGACCTTCAAAGGTGCTGTTCAACCTTGTTAAAAGTCATTCTACAATGAAGAGGACAACTTTTGCATATTCATCATATGTGTCCATTCAGGCGCCTGAAGGTGTATGGTTGGATGGTCAGAGGAGATGCTCAAAAGAAGTACAGAAAAAAACGTTCCAAAGTGCTCCAAAGAGGATCCCCGGATGGATCCGCGCGCACGGATCCCCTCTAGGCAACGGTTCTGAAGGTGTCCAGTTTCATTCTTCTTGGTTCAAACTTCTGCCTCGGATCTGGCCCATATGCTCTAATTTGAGCAGATTTGTCCAAGCAAAGAATGGTCTCTTAAGTCATTAATTATCTACAGGCTTTTCAACATTCTATGTTGATGAAATTTAAGAAGTCAGTCATTAACAGTACTGAGTAATTAAATTCGAAAACTAAGGATGAGAAGATTATTAAAACCTCATAACGCCAAAAACGATACCATCTACTACAAGAAAGCATCCCCCAGTTCTATGCAGTGAGTAATTCCTCCCACGAAGAAGGGTGTAGAAAGCCAATTGCCAATCCAAAAATATCTGCAATAGAACTTGTATAAGGTCCCCTAGATGAGGATAATAACCACCTTGCTGCCAATATTTAGATCCAATATTTCTGTTTTCCTGCTCAATATATTGCTCAAAGTATAAAGTTCATTGAGCAATCAACAATTTGAACAGAGAAAAGATGGGATTTTATTATACTCAAATTTCATTACTAAATCAGTAGCAGCTGGAAACAGAATTGAAGGCCAAGTAGAGGAAATCCCTCAGTTTGAATAGGCATATTGGTGCAAATAATGCTTATAAGAACAAAAGAAGTTGGCAACAACTACAAGTTGTCACTATCAATTATACAAAAATTTCAAGAAGGCATTTGAACTTAGGGTCCACAAATCATGTATCACCCCAACTAATATCTGAAGAAAAGTAAATCTAAGTCTCCAGATTTAAACAATGAAAATTCTTGTATGCAACTCCCGTATACAGAGCAGTCTTTCCCATACCACCCATTTACTAACTAAAATTAACCAAATAAGTATTAAAAGTACCTAAATGTAGTATAATCAAAAAACAGGTAAATCAGTTTCAAAAAATCCCCATTCTACTTATCTAAAGAGATGCTTTCAAATTGAGGGTCCGGTTCTTGAATAGCTTTGCGTTTGCAAACAGGGCAAAAATTTCTCTGCACCAACCATCTTCTTATACAGTCAACATGATACTCGTGTCCACATCCCAGTGCTCCCAGCATCTCCTCATCTTCGTATTCACCCTGGCAAACCACACAGATTTCTTCAAAGCCTTCATCATCATCTGCAACCTCTTCTTGATGACGACTTCTTCTTCTGATCTTTAGTTGCTGGATTATGTTATCTTCTCGCAACCCACTACTTATCATAAGATTACCAGTACTATAACCATTGTCTTGCCCCATTAGCCCTTCCTCCTGCAAGCTGATCAAGTCAGCCTCCAAAGCATAAGGAAACAGATCATCAGCAAAAGAAATCAGTTCCCTTAAACTAGCAGTAGGATAGAGAGGTTGCAGAGCCATTAATTGCTGGTAGAGCGTGGAATTAGGTCTCTCATTATGGTCGAAATCCATTGCTGATTCCTCAGTCAGATCAGTAATCGGTGGTTCTTGAACGTGGCTAGTTGTACAACCCTGGGGAGTATTACAGCAGTTTTGATATCTGAAGAATTGAGGAAGAAACAAAGGGCAAATTAACGGGAATCTGCAGAGAGGATGGAATGATTAAATTCAAGAAACAGGTTTTACTGCAAATATTGCTTAAGTATGTTTGTTTATATAGTGAGGATTTAACCGACGTTACAGAATCCGAAGTCAATAAGGAAAGGGAATTTGTCTGGAGTTAGAGTATCTTCCCCACACGTAATATTTGTACTTTTAGCGCACTTTCCTCGCGAGACAATCAGATAAAAACATGCATTTAGTATTAGAATTAATTGTACTTTGCACCCCTGAACTATCTTCACACTGTGCTTTGCACCCTACACTTTAATTTCAGCAATTAGCTACCTTCTACTCCCAATTTTTTGCATGATAAAAAATGGAGCTAAATCAAACGGAAAAAAGAAGTCATGTGATCAATTTACCCTCTATTTCTTTTGACTGAACTTCCACAAGAATGC